CCTTCTGAGATGAGAAATCAGAATTTGATGGGAAAAAAAGGGCAAAAATTGAGAACTAAATCAGTTGAGCACTAAATCAGTTGAGCACCTTTAAGAGGAATCATTTAAGTAATCATTTCTGTTATTTAGCTTCAAAAAAGAAAAGACATAGCGGTGAAGTTGGGAGAATTACATCATCTGTGTTCTGCAGTGGGTTCTTCTGCTTAGTTTGTATGAGGTATTCACTTAAACTTTCTTTGTCTCTGGTTTCTCTAAAACATTAGGAATATCTTCTGATCGCTGCAAAAGGCTTTATCAGCCACGAAAGACTTGGCGTGAAACAAGAAAATTTCCATTGAGACAAAAATGCAGGGGTGGACCTCAGTTCCCTTGAGTCCGTACAAGAATTCCTAGAACTCAAGAGGTACAAATGTGTTTGCATTCAAAACCACCCCAACAATGCAGGCTTGGCTGCAAAAGAGTTTAAGAATTGTTGAAAATAAAGCTGTTCTCAGACTTTCCTCCCTTTGGGGAAGTTGAAAGGTTACTGAGCAGAGAAGAGATCCTACAAGGCAGCAATGGCCATAGTCCAAAAGTGAGTAGGACTACTTTGGCACAGCTGGAGCAGAGCTATAACCCAAGCTCAGGAAATCATCCTGAGCAAGGAATGCCATACAGGCACAGTGGGAACAATGTTAGTTGGGCTAGGCCTTTCCCCTATGCAGAGGGAAGTTGTTTATACCTATCACTTATCTGAATGCCTCAGGTGGGACACATCCATGTTCCCTTCTGCAATGGACAACTAGGAGTGAAGGAACAGTAGGTGGATCAGGTTAAGAAGGAAGGATGGGGTATTATCAGGAAGCCAGTATAAGCAGGATGGGCAAAAGTTGTTTTTACCTTGGCTGTGGAGTGGATACCAGAGGGGGGCAAGTCAGGATCTGGCAGGAATTTCAGAGCTAAAGGTATGTCTCCTCTTGTCACCTTCCCTCAGGGCCGGGCCCTTCCTGGGCCCAGAGCAGGTGGCAGCTGCTGGTGCTGCGATGGACAGGCAGCTGAGCTGGGGGCAGGAGGCCTTGCAGGCCAGGCAGGATGCTGGGCCCCTTGCAGCTGCTGGGAGAGGCAGCACAGGCAAGGTGGAGCAGTCAGCCTCCCTCCTTGCACCTCTCTGTGCTGCTCAAACAGTCACGAGTCACTGCTCACACACAGTTAATGTTTGTCATGTTGGTGTCTTTGACTGAGTCCTAGGAGCTTGAGGGAAGTTTTGTCTTTTCACGTTTCTGTTCACCTCCTCCCTCTACTGTGCTCCCTCCGCACTGATCATCTGCAGTGGTTTGAACTATTGCTGCAAAGGAGGATTATCTTTCATTTAAGAAGATGGAAACTCATCATTTAAATCTCTTTTATTGTTCATCATATCCTCAAAACTGCAGACATTGAATTATTAAACACGGGGAGAGCATAAGCATCCTCAGCATCTTTAAATCCAGTCAGGAAGGTATTTCAAAGACTGATGGTTGGACTACATCTAGCAAGGGGAAAGAGCTGTCACTCAGCACAGATCTGTTTATAAATACTGTTCTCCAGAAGACAACTGACAATTGTAATGGGGCTAATTCTTCTACCAGCATTGGCATAACACCATCAGGGCTGTCTGGCGCTGCACAGGATATTTCTTCCATGAAAGAAAACTAATCCTTAGCAAGACAGTTTTAGTGTGAATTATGTTCCTTGAAGTGCTATTACAGCAAGTAAAACAAGTGGCATCATTTCTCAGTGTTTTAAAATAAGCTACCCTGAAATCAATATGGATTTATTCCTTGTCTCTTTCCACAGTATCCAGAAGGATTTTTCCATTCCTCTTTCTGTCAAAAGTGTGTCTTCATTTAATGCATATTATGTATTGCACCTGCTGTAAACCAGAATTTATACTTGATTGACTCTCTAGAACCCCAGTCTTGCCCCCAAGCAATTGCAGCTGACTCGGTGGTGATGAATAGTGCCTCTCATGGATCTAGAGCTAATGCTGATGCTAGGCTTAACAGATTCAATTTTTCACTAAATGATGGTTTAACTTCCTTTCTCATATGAAAGTGTGATTTCTATTCATATTTCTTTCATTTATAATTTGAGTAATGCCTGACTTTTTTGTTTAATGTACATGAAGTCTTATCTTGTGTAGTTGTGTAAGATGTCCAAAGGCTGCATACAGTGGCTTGGATTTTTCAGAACGTTATGATTTGTAATTTAAAAATCAGAAGTCCAATTTGGGTGTAGTGGAAGTTAGTTTAGCTGGAGCTGTATGAGAACATTATGGCCTTACTTGTGTTTTTCCATACCAGAAGCAGATACTTTCCAAAGCACTTCAGCTGGGGAGGCAGAGTGCAAGTTTGTTTAAGTGACATCTCCATGGTTCCAAACCCCTTATCTAGACTCTTTATGGACTGTAACTGGGTAATTAAAAATCAGAGTATGAGTCAGCTACTTCTGGTTTCAGTGTGGGATAAATGCATGTTTTGGAGCAACTTAACGTGGCGTGGCTTTTAGGACAGCAATTTCTTTGGGCAGGAACTTTGGGGCAACTTTGGTCCAGAAATGGAAGCTTCACTAAGAAATGGCTCTGGAGCAAAACAAAATGTTTTGTGTGTCAAAGTGTCTCTGGGTTCTCCTGAAGGCTGTAGCAACTCTTTCAGAGCCTTATTCCCAAGAAATAGTTCAGAGCCAGCCCAACAGCAGCACATTTGGCCTTGTTAGAGAAAACTCCCTGTCTGAATGGCAGTACTAAGCTGGCTCACATAAATTGTAACAGAGCAGGGAGTCCTTTTGTACTGCTTATTGCTATTGCAATAACCTGATATGCAGTTACTTGCTAACAGAAATTTTAAAATTATTTCTGATTATCTGTATCAAATAACTGCCTGTTAGCCAATACCAGAGAGTATCAGAAGTGAATCTGGATTCACTCAAGGTGGTTGTCAAATCCAAATCTCAGGCTCTTGGGAGAGTTGCTTGCTACAGGACAAGATGCAGATGCTCTCAGCAGCCCACAGACACTTCATTAGTATTAAACCTTGCACTACAGGTGGTGGGATTGGCAGTTGTGCTAAACCAGAGGATTATTTTGAAAAGGGGAGAGGAATTGATGGCAGGTTTTACAGCTGCCACACAGCTGAATTTTACACTTTTCACACTGTCATAGTATTTCACTGTATCTTTGTATCTAAGGTAAGTAGGTGAAGAGCTAAAGCTGCTGATAGCTGTGGGCTTAAGGTTTCAGAAGTGCGATGTAAGAATTCAGAACAAACTTTGCTGTATATCAGGTGTTTAATTATAATTTTTAAGCTTCTAAAGTCTACACCTTTTAGGTCCAGATTTTTTCTTTCTCAGATAGTAGCTAATCAAACCCCTTTTTTGCTGGATTTAAGTGCCTTGGTGCCTATCTCCCGTACCCAGTTATACTGACAGTGTGGACAACTCATGGTTGTAGTTGGCTGAAGTGCCCTTACCTGGTGTGCAGAGCAGGGCAAGGACATGCTCATGTACTGCCTCTGTTCATTATCACTGTCTCAGAGTGCTGAGCACTGAGAGGCATATTTAAAAATAGAAAGGTTCTACAGGCAGTTGTTTTTTTGTCCAGCTCTCATTGATGACTGACTGAGCCTGGGATGAGCTGCTGTAACGTAAGATCACAAAAAGAGAATCCTCATGTGCCTCCTCTCATGGAGGCTGGGCCCCTTCAAGCAGATCTGCTCCAGAAGGGAGAGAGAAAATGCTTCAGGCCTTCAACTCACATCTGAAAATCGGTTTGGCAGGTATCACATAGCAAACTTCCTTCCCACTTCCTTTATCTGCACTGTGACTGAGCAGCCCCTGGGGAAGTGTTCAGTTATATCAGTATATGGCAGAGCTCCCTCGCACCACAGCAAATGTCTGCATGTGCATTAAAGATGAGAGGGGATGGTCTCCAGCTCTGAAATATAAGGCCGCACAGGGGACAGAGGAAAGGCAAAACCAAATGGTCAAAGATCAGGACTTGTGCAGGAGGGTGCATAGTGGTGCCTGTAAACAGATGTCGCAGTCAGAGGTGAGCTGATTCCTCCTGAATAAGTAACCTTCTCTCAATATACAGCACCTGAAACAAGTGTGGGGATGACTCTTCTCTGAGAAGAGTCTACTTTAAAGTGAATGATTCTGTGTTTTTTTCCTGACTATTCAAAACAGACTGGACTGAATCACGCAATATTTTGCAAGTGAGAACACATATTTTGACTAATGAAAGCATTTACAAGTAAACATAGAATTAGTGCTCACTACTAATCTGGAAGCAGGTGAAGTCTTAAAGAATTCAAGTACAGCTTGAGGCTCAAATCTAGTAGGGAGACCTGAGAGCTCCTCTACCTTGCTCTGTGGGCACCCAGGTGCAGCAGGCAGAGGAAGGGGAGCAAAAGAGGTCTCCTCTCTGCTCAGAAAACTGATCCAGGCTGGTACATAACCCATCTGTCCTAACAATTTTCTGTCATAGCTGATGGTGGCTTTCAGCACTAGGATTTGAACATGCCCAGCAGGAGCGTCCACTGGCCTTCTGTGAAACAAACTCCATGGCATGCTTGAGTCGAAAGCCCTGTGGGACAGAGCAGGGCTCTGCTGGAGCAGCTTCCATTTCAGTTCCTGTTGTGAAATAATGCTAATCCATGCAAGTGTTATCAGTAAATTGTATTTCCCTATGCTTGCAGAATTAGAGAAATACATCAGAAGTGACTGCAGAACAAAACCAAACTGAAATCAGTCATCTGGATATGGTTTAAGACTCTTTGAAGCTCAACTGCACACACAAAGGACAGTTGCTGGCAAAATGATACAGCTCTTCAAGTTCAACTTTGAGTAGTTTACCTTCCATCTGATCTTTGTGGCAGATGCAGTACAGAAGTGATTGGTTCTGAACTGATGCTACTCTTAGCTGGTACCAAAAAAAATCTCAGTTATTAAAAATTTAAAAGAAAAACACACAGGAATTATTCAAATTTTTAATGCAAATTTCTTTTAATTTTGAATTAACCAAATTTTTATTCTTCAGTAAGAGTATTTACAATGCCTTGCAAAAGCAGTGCAAAACCACGGTGTGCCGAGCTTACCCTGGGCTATGATTTAAGTTACGAGTACAAACTCAGTGCAGAGGTAGCTTGGGCTATAATTACTCCTACCCAGCCCCTCCTTTTGGTCCGACCTACAGGCACCTGTGTGTTCCAGCTGCTCTTTGCATGGTGCTACCCAAGGAGCCTGGCACAGAGGAGCTGAGCTTCTTCACAGCCAGGAAGCTGCTTAACAGCCCAGGCTGGAAGAGAAAGGCAGCCAGCAGTAGGCAAGGGGCTCGTTTAAAGGTACTGTAGATCATTGATGCTGATTACCTGATGCACTCATGCAAGTTAGGTCTTGCTGGGCTGCTCCCCATTCTTTATGTGAGGAACTTCATGCTTACAGCAACTCAAGTTTTACTGCTGCCATGAAATAAAAAAAAAAAAAAAGCCTTTCATAAACAATTAAACTGTTGTTAGTTATGTTGTAAGGTCTATATTTTAATCTCAAAGCAAGAGTCAGGAATACTACAGAACACATTTTAGAAGACAGCCAAGTAATCTTCCTGCTACTTTCTTAGTCTAGCTAAAGAAACAACAAAAAAAAAAAAGCAAAAACAAAAACAACCAAAATCAGTAGGTCCCTATGGCAGTATCTCATGGAGATACACTGCATTTTTCTTGCTGTCCTCTCTCATATCTGGTCAGTAATAAGATCTAATTACATGGATTACAGTAGACTTAGTAAGCCCTGTACATGTGCTAAGCTAAAAGTAATTACCCTTGCTGTTTGTATGGGAAGTTATTCCCTTTTCTTTTTCCAAAGTTGCTCTTTCTCTACTTTCCCAACAAATTGCAGAATATCCTTAGCAAGAAGTTCAGGTTCCTCCAAAGCTGCGAAATGGCCACCTCGAGGCATGAAATGGAAGGAAACTATATTGGTATATTTCTTCTGGGCCCAAGCCTGGGGTGTGTGCATGATTTCATTAGGGAAGGAGGCAATGCCAGTAGGTACTTGCACTGTGAGCCTGAGAGAGGAGAGAAAATAGTTTTAATCTTTTAAACACTTAAATCTGCAAGAAGCGAAAAGTCCCAAGAAAATGTTGTTCTTAAACAGCTGGGTACACTGTTGTTAGACAATTAAAATTTGCCTTCCAGATCCTAAAATTGAAGACAAGACAGTAATTCCTGAAGAAAAAAAAAATGTAAATATATGCCAAAAAAAATATATAAAGGCAATTTTTCAAGGGCATGAGAGTTAAAAGCATGGAAATGGAGAAGAGAGCTCTAGGAGGTGGTGGGCAGCAAATTTCTTCATGCTGCACTCATGCTCAAGAGATTTACAGTGAAGATTACAACTCAAACATGTTGAGCCTGGCAGGACAACTTGGAGGGTAGGCAGGGGAAGAATTACTTCAAAGTGCTGCAAAGTGGAAGGGAGGAGAAGAAAATAGAGAGTAAATCTAGACTAGTTCAGAAGAAATGCTTCTGAATGTGAGACTTGACCCTGTAAAGTAGCTCTTGCTTTTAAGTGGCACAAATGCACTCTACAAAACATTCTGTGCATTAGGAAGTGTAAGAAAGCAAATGGATTTGAGGGGAAGAGTCTCTTAGAAAGGGAAATGATGTCTGCTTGTTATAAGAGCAGCCACGTTTTCTAGGTTTAAATATCTCATACACATAAGCTGCATTGTCAGAAGTGACAGACTTTAAAATGAAGATACAAAAAGTGTTGGGCACATAACCCCTAGAAGCCTGAGATCAGAGTGCCTAATTTTACACAAGACTTTGAGACTCTGTCCTCTAGGCACATAGAAGCTCATATACATCATCTCATGTAGGCAGAACCAGAGCAAGATACTGCTCACAGTGTAGCCACTACAGCTCCAAGAACTGAGTCAGCTTCCTGAGAGCATCATTTCACAGCTAAATGAATACCATAGCAGTAAGCTGTTGGTGCAAATACCTCAGGGCAGGTTTAAGCCTTCACTAATACTCAAGCTGACACAAGTATATGCAACCAAGCTGCTGTCTTTAGTGTCTGTGGAGCAGGCACATCAGTCTTACTGACTTCTGACTTACCCCATTTGTCAGCATGCTGAAGTTGCTTCCAAAGGCAGGACTTAAGACTTTTGCAAAAACAGGCAAAGTATGTCCAGAAAAGTACTAAAACTACAAACCAAACAAACTAAACAAAACTGACTGCATGACTCAGTCACAGGCTAATTTAGTAGCTGAAATAAAATCTGGAAGTACAGGGATACACCATGAATGGGAGGTCCTCAAGCAGCACTTCCAGTCAGGTGTTCTTACTGGTGGTTCAGGATTCCTACCTAATTACTGCATTTTCCAAGCACAACACAGTTCATCAACTACCAGGCCTGTCCTGCAGAGGAACACTGTGATACAGCAGTGTTTTTCCTCAGCATTCAGAAACCTGCAGCATCTATAAGGCAACAGTCTGTCTGCAACCATAAAATTAAGATTGGGGCAAAATATTTAAAGAGGAAAAAAAACCACTTACTTTTCATGTTTCTGTGTGCCTATCCCCTTCTGCAAGTTTTCTTTGTAGAAACGCATTGAGGAGACTATACAGCCTGACACCCAGTAGATCATGATATTGGTGAGCAGATCGTCCAGGTTAAACTTCCTGAATAAGTAAGCCCAGAGGTTGCTTAGTTAGAACTGAATATCAATTTGCATTACTTTAGTAGGGGCTTGACTTTGGTTTGGTTGCAAGAAAAAAACGTTACAGGAAAAAAACACAATTAACTTGGTTAAGAGTGGAGAGGTGAAGTGTACTACTCCCCCTCTGTCTGTCAGTGACCAATTAAGGATGTTAAAGGCTTTCAGACACAAACTGGGAAGTGACATTTTAACTCCTACACGGAAGGCAGACTCCAACGAGCACCTTATGCTCCAGCATAGCTGTCTATCCTGTCCATAGACTGGGAGGGTGGGAGCAGAACAGCACATAGAACAGCTTGTGCCATTTATTAATGATAATGTGAAATGCTACCATGAGCCTTCAACAGTCATCACACACCAACATGTGCTGTAAACAGTGCATGTTTCATATATAATTATTAGCTGTATGAAGTGCAAACATTCCATTCAAATGGGCCTTTTCATAACATGCCACTTCATTCCTGCCAGGTAGTTCTCAAATGGGATTTCATCTTGGATTTCTGCTGCACACTAAGAATAGTCCTGTATTAGCAAATGGTAGGTAGATGAAGCAAAACCAATCAATCCAAAGTAAATTCATAGAGAGTTAATTATTAGTATTAAAATAAATCAAGAGTTCTGTTTCCCAGCATCTTAATGTAAAGTTAAACTTTTGGATTTTTTATCCTAATGAGATTCTTCCCCCTAAGTCAGTTTTGAATATCTCAAAGTTGCAGGGTGTATTTCTTTTCTAGGAGATCAAAGTGGGAAGGAATACATCAGCCTCCATGGCCTATTTGCTTCTCTGCATGCTGTAGTACAGCCCTGCACCATCTGTGGTCATCACAGGCTCCCTGCGAGGCGATCAGACAAACCTCTTTAGCTATGACTCGGGGCTGAGTCACCTCATCCAAAATGGCATAAGAGAAAAGGCTTACCTCTCTAGTCCTCCATCCTCTAAATTCTGGAATTCCAGATCAGTCCAGGAAGAAAACTTCTCCAGGATATATGCAGCCAGTCCTACAGGAGAGTCATTCAAACCACAGCCTGAAAAGGAGGAGGAAAAATTAACTGAAATTGTGATATCCAGCTACTGAACTCAGACTATTATAGAAGCAGCCTGTTACAATACAGCAGATGTAACTTTACAAAGTCTTCCAGCAGCTGTGTTCTTAAATAAATAAATAAAACAATGCAATGAGTTGGAACCACTTAATCCTGAACTGATGTAACAGTACTGGATTTCTGCTGGCTTTTTATTTTTTCTTGTAAGCTAATAAGATTAAGCTCTATGTGCCAAGTAGGGTTTGCTTCCATTAATCTGGAAGTTGTCATGTATTAAACAGTATTACAGGGCCAAACCCCACATGCCTACACATGACCAGGAGGATTTGCAGCATTACCTAACAGCAAAAACATTTTAAGGATTATTAGAAAGTCATTAAAGAAGAGCAAGACTTGACTAAAAGTTCATCTTCTGAATTAGCAATAACCAACTGCCTTCATGTAGAACAAGCCTTAATATAGTTTTTATAGTTTGTTTTGCTTGGACAGAAAAAACACACCTGCGCCTGGAACTCTGCTCACACATTCTAGTGCTGTGAAATACAGGGACCATAAACTGTCCCAGCTGCTCAGTAAAACCTAAGAAAAAGCTGTTCCCAAGGAACAGCAATATATTTGAAGTTCCACATGTGCAACCGAATCTTCCTGAAAGATGCCTAACGCTGCAGCTGGCACAATGTCGTCAGTAATTGCTATTTAAACATGACAAGGAAATTTCAGTCATCAAACAACCAATACTGATAAGTGAAATAGCAAGTGTTTGAAAAAGTTCTATTTAGCACTTGTTCCAGATCTGCTGAACTAAAACGCAATAGCCTGTGAGTAAAGAAGAGCACATCTGTTTACATATAGGAAAAACTGACATTGATCCTAACACCTCTTGGAATACAGGTGCTGCCTATTTCCCTCAGTTGAAAATGAACCCACTCTCCATCCAGGTTTCCCAAAGAGCTTTTTCCAGCAACCTTACATCTCCTTTTTCAGAGTGTTTTCTTCCTTAGAGGAACATGCCACTGCAGAGAACTCCTCTGTCCTTTGTCCTCAGAATTGCAGGAATGCTCCAGCTCCCAAAGCATGAAGTGGCTGCTGGTTCCCAGTCTGCACAGTCTGCTCTGACAGACCACACACTACTGGTAGGGACAAGAATCAGCCAAAAAAGCACAGCAGAGGGAGCATGGCTGTCAGCTTCCCCCTCTTTCCTAAAGCACAAAAGACTAGCAAGTTTTAGAAATCAAAACTCAGTGGGAGCAAAATTATTTTAAATGCATAAAATTATCATTTTGCCTACACATTTTAAGAACATACCTGCCTCTGTAGGTAAGCTTATGGAAGACCATTAAGAAATATTTTCCTTAGCTATGTTTTTAATAAAATCCATGAGTGAATTGGTCCTGCACTAAACTAAAATGTAGTCAGTATTCTTGACTCAGTTGTCCAATTCAGTCACAAAAGATGTTTTTAAAATAGAAACACTTAATACCCAGATACTTAAAGTGGTTAAGCAATCTGAGTGACTAGCTCATCTAGAAAGAACATTCATAGCCACACTTTTTTTCCTTGAAAATCTGCAAGTGATTCAGAACAATGAGTGAAAATGAAATGTGATTTCATTTCTCAGGTATTACTTATCCCTATAATAAATAAGTTACACTGTGTGTTGAGACAGCTAAAAGCTTCTCATAGTTTACATCATTTGAATGTGATCCATTCTCTGAGAAGAAACTCTCTTTTGCTCTCAGCCTAGCTGCGTTTGAAATGGAATTACAGTCCCCAGTGGCAGCAGAAGTGGAAAAGTATTAAACAATCTATTTTATTTATGAAAACTAGAAATGAGGTCAGTGGCACTTAGAGCATGCTCAGTTTTGATGTGCAGATACAATGCTTCTGCATGCAGAAGTGAGTGTAATGCTATATACCCATATGTAACCCTTTCTGACTTGGATAGAGAAAAGGAGCCCACCTTTTAAAACCTCCAACCTTCCCACTTCAAAGAAAAAAAATATTTTCTGCATATTTTAAACAGGACATTTTGTTTCTACAGAAGTACGGCTAAAATGAACAGACTTAAGTATTCTGAGCTCAAAAGGTTGGGGATTTTGCTTGTTTGTTTTACCAACAGTATCTGGCTTTGTAGCCTGTATGTGAGCATAGCCAGACTCTGACAAGATCCTGTAGAGCCCTTTTTCCAAGAAGGGAAACATCCGCCTAATATCTTCCTCCTGGAAACCAAAGAGCCCTGGAAAGTAGCGGCCCAGCAGAACGGAGAGCAGGTGAGAGAATCCCATCTTCGTAACCGAGGCTAGATTTAAATGGAGACCTTTCATATGGCTAAAAAGAAAAACAGAAAAAGCCCCACAAATTAACAAAAATAAAATGGGATTCAAAGTTGTTACATTTAGAATCAGAGAATCATAGAATATCCCAAGTTGGAAGGGACCCACAAAGATCACTGAAGTCCAACTCCTGGCCTTGCACAGGACGACACCAGAAAAAAAAAATCACACCATGTGCCTGGCAGTGTTGTCCAAATGTTTCTTGAACTCTGGCAGGCTTGGTGCTCTGACCACTAACATTTAAAATGTTATTAACAAAAATGCATGCCCTTAAATTCCAACCTGCTAATTACACCATGACCTCAGCTGTACTTTCCAGTGTGGCTTTTCACACAAAAATGACAAGTCAAAGGGACAACAGTCAGTAATCAGCACGCACTCCTGGGCATTAAGCCACAAATCCTCTTTTTTTTTTTTCCTTACAAGCACTTATCCCACTCCAGACATCAGCGGAGCCATTACAAAACTACTGCACAACAGTTTGAAAGAACAGGTGTATAATATAAATTAAGGTATGTAATTTTGGATCACTGCTGAACACTGAGCAGCAATGAAAGAAATTACGCAGTGCTCATGCGAGGACTTGGACAGGAACTTTCAAGTGCACAAGAAATAACTACTCACAGAATAAAACAGCTTTGCAGTGCTCCACCAAAGGGGTACTCACTTGGGAGCTATCTGGGCCAGGTTGGTGCAGATGAGCCAGCCCCAGTCACCACCTTGGGCATAGAACTCGTTGAATCCCAGTCTGAGCATCAATTCATAAAAAACAGAAGCAGCACTTACAGAATTAAAGTCTGCATTAAAAGAAAAGAACACTGTTGTATTAATTCCGCCTACACTGCTCACCCTGCAGCATTTATTCTCCACATAAAGGCAACATTCAAGTTCCTAAAAAGCTACAAGTCCATTTCTCCTCGCCTGTCCGACAGACTATATGGAAGCCTTTGCACACCATCTAGGCAAGGTCTAGAGAGCAAGCAGAAAGGACCAAGTCCAGCCTTTGTTGCAGACTAGTGTTCTTCTAATCCCACCACTTGCCCATGCGCTCGCCCCACCAAGGGGTTGCCAGACTCCCTTTAAACTAAACTGTGGTCGTGCTCCAGCTGAGCCCCATCAGAGGCACAGAGCACAGAGCATTGCCCAGGGAGTGTGTTTCTATTTTGTCTACTGTGAGCACACTCTCCTCTTAATGACAGTTGGAAACTCTAAGTTTCCACTAGTAACACAGTTCTCCACTTCACTAGACACTGACGACATAAATTGTAAACCGCGAAGTAGAGAAAAGCAAAACCAACCTTCCCCATATCATTCACCTGCACACCTAATTAAATACAAAACTCGGTATAACTTCAAATACTACCTTGCTTCAATTTGATGCAGCTTGTGTTTGTATAATCGAAAGCACAAGCTGAACAAGCAGGCTGCAATCTGCCTTGTAGATAATATGAACTGATTTGTTTCAACTGATGCTTCTCACCTACCTGTATAATGCTGTTGAATATGAATTCAAAACACCCAAAAGGAACAGTAATAAATTAAATTTACTCTGCCGGCTCACTCACAGACAATTCATGGACTCAATTACAATTCCTGAGTTGTCACTTCATAGCTTTTTATAGTTCTTTTAAAATTATCTATACGTTGCTCCAGAAACAACTCAGTGATGTCACCTAAAGTCACCCTCTTATCTCCCTCTTCCCACATGACACACAGGATCTCTGTTTCTACAGTGGGAAAACAAGAAGTGTGTAAGAGGAGTTACTGTGCTGCTAGCAGGGGCTATCTCACTGTGAGACTGGGTTTGTGGTAGCTCAGTTTCTTCTCATGCATCATACCTTTTTTGTGGGGTGCTTCTGAGAAACCATAACCAGGGATAGATGGGCAAATGACTTCAAAAACGTGTTCGTCACTGAGGCCGTGGCTTGCAGGATCCGTCAGGAGAGGGATAATTTTGTAAAACTCATAAAATGAGCCAGGCCAACCATGAACCATTAATAAGGGCTTTGCAGACTGGCCTTCAGGCAAACGAGGAGGCTTTACATGAACAAAATGGATATCAATGCCTGTAAAAATAAAATAATTAATTAGCATGCTCAAATTTACCACAGCACTGAAACTATTCACAAAACAGTTTAAGAATAAAGCTTTTCTGAAGTCCTTTTTTTGGTGAGGATGCAAACGTGCTGCACTTCTCTGGATACATTTATCCAAGGACCTTAAAGTACTTTACAATGGGTAATTAAGCATCACAGCAGCCAAATGAGGTTGATGTATTTCTGTTTTAAAATAAATTGGCAAATTAAGACATAGCAGTGAAGCAATCTACTAACGGTAACACAGTGACTCACACAGCTCAAAGGCAGAAGAGACAATTACATCATTTTGTCCAAGTGCCCTTACATTTTACTCAAATGTCCCTATATGGCATGGGATAGGCTCCAGTCAACCACAGATTTTTCTTCCTGAAGGCATAAATTGCAACTTGAAGGCACCAAGAGATAGGGAATTCATCTCAACTAGCAGCTGTTTGTTTGGGGGTGTTAATCACTTTCCTCGTTCTGTGCATGCCTTACTTTCCACTTGAACTTCTGTCTCCAGCCACTGATCCTAAATGTTACGGCAAAAGGAATTTAAAAAGCCTTCAGTAAGTATTCTCTGTCTGTGGAGGCCTCCTGTAATCAAGCCACACAACTGCTGATAAACCAATCATGCCAAATCAAGGATTCGACAAAATGCCCTGCTAAAAGAGTTATTTTTTGTAGTTCTTTTCTACCTTTCATCCAAAGCTTTCAGTATCTCTAAGTGTGTAAACCGTAACAGGAGACTGTGTTCTAGTAGCAGTTTCCTCCTGGTTAAGTAAAAAGGTAAAAATTGCAGTCCAGTTTCCTCTGTGATCCTTTCTCTATGTAAGTAGTAGGCTTCACACAGCATTGCACTACGTGCTTCAGGTGAACTGCTCTTCCTAAAGCCCCATTCAGGGCTTGGCTTTCCAAGAAACAGTAATTTGCTTGATGTATTTAGGCACATTTTACTCACATCAACTTCAGTTCACAAGTGATCCCACCTTCTTTCACTGACTGAGATTTCCCCATCCTTGACAATTCTGTGAATCTCTGTATTCTCTGAAAAACTTTCAAGTGATGACAGAAGGTAGGAATCTGATATACAGCATGTTTGACCTTGTCTTTTCATGTCTCCCCTCTGCAATCTTTCCTAATGCTGAAATTGCTCTTCCCATTGCTATACATAGTGCAATGTCCTTAGCTGCTTCTCCCTTTATTGCCTCAGATTTTTTTTTTCCTTTTTTAAGGGAAGACTTTTTTGGTTGTATCTTTTTCAGCAGTAACCATGTTGTATACATTTAAATAAAAGCTTTATGATCTAACCACTACGTAACAACCATTTATTGTCCCAAATCCATTTTAAATATTATGGTAAACTGCATAAATAATATATGATATTATTATTTATAATAATACAATATGTATATTATATATATAATATATATATTATATATACATTTATTATATATAAAAAATTATGGGTGCAAAAGCATACAACATACTCTTAAGCTTGAATTTTGCCATCATGTGAGACAACTGCCTGCTGTGCTCTAGATCTACGGCTGCACTCCCAAATGACCCAAGCACAACCCTACATCAAACATCTTAAAATGTCCAGTTTGACCAAGCTCCAGCACCAGCAGACCTTACCTGAACGACCTCTTCCAACACGTGTGTGTGCTCTGAATAAAAAGACAAACCATTCTCTCACACCTGGCAGCACGTCAACCCCAAGGGAAAGGCATTCTGCATTCCTAGTCCACGAATCCTTTAAATGGTGCAGCAGAGCACATCTGTCCTGCCAAGCAGGGACAAACCTGAGTGGCCAGCACACCCAGGTGAGGAGGCTGCCAGGCTGAAGGCATCACTGTGACAGCGGCAGCTGGGGAACTACACGGAGCATGAGGAGACATCTGTGGGTATTTTTGCATGACTGCATGCAAGTCAGGGAACATGTGTACGTCTTAAGATCCAGTTCTGTTTCCAAATGCCCGTGCTTGGCTCCTGTTAACACCAGCTGACAACCCACTCATGCATAGGGAATTCCATTTGTCATTCCTTGTCCTAAAGGCTTCAGTTACAATGAAGGAATTTCTTGCTGCTTCAGCAGTGATGCCCATGATCCATGCTAGGGCAGCCAGGGAGGGAAGGCCCATCCAACACAACCAGAGCATTCTCACCACCAAGATCCCTTGCAGATAAGATTAAGTATTACTGCTTACTTTTTAAGGGGAAAAGCTACACACCTTGAATCTTTGTTTTGAAATGTGGGTACTTGTTGAGGACTTCAACTTGTTTCTTCCAATTGAACTGGTTTTTCCAGTAGGAGACAACCTTCCTGAGATACACTGAGTTAATCCCATAATGGAAGCAACTGTTCTCCAGTGGCTCAGTGAACCGAGCCTGGTCAAGTCTCCTAAATAAGTCCTACAGGGAAAAAGAAAGAGACATTAAAACACTTGTATCTGCTGTCTTGGGCTCTCCCATGCACGGTTTCTAGTTATTCCCAAGAGAAATGAGAACAATGAAAATAACATCTCTAATTAGACACCTCTGCCTTTTGCTGATGCTCCATCAGCTGTTCCAATTCTTTTCCTCCTCCAGATGGCCTCCTTCCTCTTCCATTTACAGCTGTTCTTAACACTCTCTGTCTTTGTTCTGCAGGGCTGGATAACCTGTTTGCCAGGCTGATAACCACAGAGGGCAATATGCTCTGCTGACACTACTGTGGCTTCCCAGTTTAAGTCTTGTTGCCTTTCCAGGGTACTTTGTTCCCTAGGTTACCTGTGAGCCCAACCTCAAAATCAAGGCAAGGATCTGGCCCAAACCTTTTGTTTTCCTTCCCAAACCAAGGGGCGGGATGTTTTCATTGGAAAACACTCTGAGGGATTTTGCATGGACACAAAGCTGGTGAAACTAGACTGAAATTCAAGTTTCCCAGTCTGGAATAACTATGAAAGTGACCTTCCCACTACACTTCAAGGTTACACAGGATGCTGACGATACTGCAAAAATCAGTCCAAAATCACTCTGCAGGGAAGGACAGCCCAGAGCCCCTTCCTACTGTGAACAGAGCAGCTGAGGGTGGAAGGCAGGTCTGGAAATCTAATCCTGCTCAAACCTCCTTGGGGTTTAAACCTGAACAGTATTTTCCAATAGAGCAACAGAGATAGCTCCCACTCTGACCAAGATGAGTTAAATGTAAGCACTGGCTCACGCCTCACTGAACAGGCAGTCTCAGCCTAGGCAGGATGTCAGAATGTGAACTCACTGTTTTGAAATCCATGTACAGAAAGCACGGATTTCTAAATGGAGTTTTTAACGTGTCTTTACATACGTGCTTTTTGTCTATGCTCAACACCTTCTAAAATGTTTTAGTAATGTGCACTAGCATAACTGTAACTCCTAGTTTATATTTAAAACCAGAGTTTTCTACGGATGGATTATGATGCAAGAGCTGTCACAATACAGAATGGCATGTTTCAAAAATATTTGTGAGTTAGAAATTATCTAGCTTAATGTCTGCAGTGTAAGGGGAAAACATAATGGAGATCAATGTCCATTGATATTACTATGAAGGGCAAGCAAAGTGTTAAAAAAACCAGGACTTTCTGAGAAATTAGGAAGCTATTATAAATGAATAATATGAGCAATCCCATGAGTATTGTTTAAACCATGACTCCACACAGATCTATGAAATTGTTCAATCCCTGGCTTAAACACACACAATCAAAATCTTTCTATCCAACAAATTCTGCAACGTATGTTTACTGTAATTACCACAGTAATTTAGTGTTGACCAAAGTAGACTATTAATTACAGAAGAATCAGCATCCAACACAGCTGCAAACATAAAGCAGTCAAGAAAATGAGGTATCTGTAATTGCTTTGGAAAGAAAGAAAGAAAAAAAAAAGACATTGTTCTTATTCTCATCTACACAAACTGAGCAAAGTGCACAAACAGAAAAACAGAGTTGAGTAATCTGTAATATGATTTTTATGTTTATTAGGCTCTGCAGAGTAGGTTTATTTATCAGCAATCTTGCAACAGCCAGCTGAGAATAGAATAGTACAGCAGTGTATAAAATCTGCCTATCCATACCGATTTTCTGAAGGGGGAAGGGACTTCTAGTACAAGACCTGGACATCATTGCTCATTCTCACAAGTGTAACTATTGGTTCAATTTAAAAATTACTTCCAAGCAAGTTCTGCATTTATTTGGCCATGTCTTATTTCTCTCTCCCCAGCCCAGAGATTTGCTTACGCTCAGCTCTTCTTCTGTAGTTTCCACCTTAAATGGCCGAACAGTTGTATCTTCTTCAGTGTCAGGCTTTTGTCCCTTGCCCCACCATCCATCTTTGAAGGGCAATGTCTCTTCCTTCTTCTTGGAAAATAAGAAGTAGATAATAACTGTCCCCAGAACGAGGAATATTTCAAGCAGCATAATGCCTGCAAGAGAAGAACAGAACTGGGGTAAACCTAATCAGTTAATAAACACACACATACTTTGTAAAGACTATAGAAGGTTATTCCCTTTTTAGACAAGATTCCATCTACATGAAGTTCTGTCACTCACAGTGTATCAACACTTCTGAAAAATTTCAGAAATAGAATGTTTTACCCTACGCAACTCAAGTGGCGAAGAATTGTTTTAAATAAAAGACATATAACAAAAACAGAACTCAAAGTAAGTCAAGAGATGGCTTCATAATTAAATAGTTCACTGATAAAACATGCCACATTGGCTTCCTCAGTGGTCCACAACTGCAGTTAAGCTTCAACGGTAAAGGAGGTTTAATGTTTTCTCTTCTTCTGAAGCTCTATACTTCCCAAAAATTCAAATGCAGAGCATCTCTTCAGTAAGGCTTATATATCTACTGCTATAAATCTGTAGGGAAAGAAAAATGAGATATATATATAGAATAAAAAGTGAAGAGCGTGAAGGCAGCCACCTTGCACCTCCAAGTCAGCCTGGGAGAGTGGGGCAGGGATATATTTGCATAACCCTTGAACACCAGTGCAAAGGGTAATAGGACCTTCCCTTTCTTTCTCCCTCTGAACTGTTTTAAAGAGGAAAACCACATGCATGCTCTCCTGGCTCTAGAATACGATCACTTCCCCAAGTGATAAAATTCTGTCAAAGTGAAGAAGAACCTGATTTCACAGCACATCTGCATAAGCCAGCTGCAGGGCTGTTGTGCTTCAGTCAAAAGAACACCTTAGCAAAAAGAAAATAATCCCTTTAAATGTATTTGAACTGGTTTATGCTGCAAGTAGAAAAAAATATTCAGTCTTTAATAATTAATGTTTTCAAGCATGCCTTTAAGTATAAGAAACGTTTATAAAGTGGTTTGGGGAACAGTACTGTCATCATTTTAATGCATAATTTTAAAGAATGTTGTGTTTCAAACATTCATTTGCTGGGGAATTGCTAAGACATGAAGTATTCCAAAACTTCTGTAGGGCAAGGATTTTTTATGACCCAGAATGTCTTCATTCTCTCTAGAGCCAGAAGGTTTTGTTGGTTTTACTGCTGCAGAGTAATTTGATGCTCTGAAATGGCTCAGAGTCATCAAGAATACACCAAATTTACTCCTGGATCAAAACAGAAATTTTAACACAAGTTAATGGGAGTTCACAGGATCATACCAGGAATGAAGCTGACCTGTGTGGTAAGTACCTTTATGTGACAGGACACATTTTAGTCAACTTCTTGGCTTTAATTTTCTTATGGCTGACAATAAATTAATAAAAGGTAAAAATAAGCACCCACTAAAACATCTGTACAGAAGTCAGGAGCTATGCAGATAGGACAGCAAGCTACAGAAAAATCTATTGTTTATATATGCAAGTGCTTCACCCTTGAAAAGTGCCTGAATCCTCAGAGGCTGGAGCTATTGGAAATGATGGGCACTGAGAAAACTTAATGTTTACTTGTTTCACTGGTGCTTCCATAATTTCTGTTGCTTGTTTTTCTTCACCGTGTTCTCTGGAGCACAAGACAACACTCTTTTCCCACCTCTACCATACTCAGGTTGTAACTTACCCCAGAATTAAAAAGTTTATCCAATTTCAGCTTGCCTCAACACATAAACCAGTGTAGTCTAGGAACATCCTGAGCACAATTAAATTTTACTGCAAAGGACAACTGGAGGGACTTCTAGAAACGTCAAAGCACTTCACACAGAAATGACACCTACTACAGTATTTAATGACATTTCTTCTACTAAGTCTTCACAGAGAAAAACAGCAACTTCCCTGAAATCACAACAGAACTCAGGCCATGTCTAGGCTAAAAAGGTTCATCAGCATAACTATGTAAACACCACACAGAAAAATTCAAACTCTTGGCCAACTTCAATATGTTTACAAAGCCCCACAACAAACAAAAAAGCTGCTGTCAGCGCCAGCCCTGTCGTTCAGGGAGAATGGTTGGGGTACCTAGAAAAACAGAGGATTCTTTCTCCTGGCCTACGCCAACACAGTGACAGAGGCACATCACCCAGTACAGAACTGCCCAAGAACAGAATCTCAGCCCATTCTCTAGCAAGAAACTTGCATGTCCTAAGTCACTGGAGTCCCCAGAGCTACAAAAACATTTCTGCTTCCCCCATCTGCTCTCAAGGAGACTTAAGAAACCAGAATTTTTGCAGCAGAAGATATGGGAGGAATTGCATGCAAATATGTTTATTTTGCATTCACCCTGGACCTTGCGTGGAAAGAATTCACTGTGCGAACAGACACCCATTTTTGCAATTAATTCCAAACAGACTTGAGGATGAGCTTGTTTACAAACCAGCAATAAGTGCCAAAATCATCTTCAGGTCTCACAACAATTCTGTCTCCTATTGCAAAGAATTGGGACCGGTGACAAGTTGATTTGCATGAGATGTCATTTTGACTTGAAGAAGCTGCCTCTGATATTGGTTGGATTATTTTCTGCTAACAGAGAGACCCTCTATATTCAACCTCACTTCCCTTGAAAGCGCCTGTAAAATTCCTGATCACAACAAACACAGGGGCCTAGAGCTCCAACTACGCTACATTTTTTTCTGAGTGCGCAGGAAGAAAAGGGCAAAGTGCGTCAGCAGTATTTTGACTTGCACCAGTTCACAGCACACTCAAAGGGATTGTTTTGCTGGTGATGAGTTGCTGGAACGCAGCATGTTCCTACCAACTGCTCCAGCCTGCGCCGAGAGGAGACCACTTAGAGCAAATGCACTCGGTGATTTCCCAAGTCTGTTATTCAAGCTAGTTCTCTAAAACCCTTGTGTGTTATTTGAACGGCATAAAGCAGCCTCAGTCGTGACGCATCCGCACCAGAATTTCCTCCGCTAATCATTACTGAGATCTGTTGTGAAATGGAAGTTATTAGCTCCTTACACTTGTTCCAAGATGCAGCAACGCAGCAGCAACCACAAATGTGGAAGGATAAACAGGTATAATGACACTTTTCTATATTCACAGTTTTCAGAGATGTCAACAACAAAGTGCTGGTGTTTTTATTGTCTGAAGTCTCTTCATGCAACCACACTGGCATGTTGCCTTTATAGCTGAGTACTTCAAAGGGAGTTCATGTTTTGGTTTGGCTTTTTCCTCTTTTTATGCAACCAAAGGCAAAATCTTAGAACAAAATATTTCCATTTATTCCATGGTCAAGTACTTAGGCTCTGAGACTTTGCTGTACCCCAGGGTGGATATTGTTTATAGACAGCCCTTAAATACCTTAGACAGTACTTTTATCCTAAAGAGTTCAAGGAAGAATGTTTTTGGTTTGCTGCTTTAAAAACACGTTTTAAAAGAAAAATGTTGAAATGCGATGGTTCAGTAAATAGCCTAAAAACTAGCTCCTCTTGAAGAAGGCCAAGTGCATCTCAAGAAATGCATTTGCAAGAAAACCCCTAAACTTTCCTATAGTAAAGATACTGCTCCCTCTTGCAAACACTCTTGGTTTTCAGCGCTTTTTTGCATTTTGATTTGCACTGTCCTCTGTTCATGCATTAGCAGCAGACCTAAGAGTTCCACAGAACAGAGCAATTATTATTTACATCAAAGCTATGTCCTGTCTCACACCTTGTCTTCATCAGTACCCAGTAGCAGATGCCTCAGAGAACAGTGCTATTTATCTTTAGAGATGTCATCTCTGAAATAACTGAAAGGTAAAATCCCCATCTCGTCCTACCAGTAACCATCCATCTTTGCCTTGCAGCATTAGAATACATCTGAAACATGTTACTGGAGAAGTAAGCAACTGTGCAGACTTTCAATCTAACACTGGAAACCCATTTTGCAACCCAGCTACCACGGCCTGAATGATGCACAATACCCACAACTCCAAGTGGTGCTATCAAACCCTGTGAGTGGGGTGTGGGTGAAGCAAAAGACATGAGAGACCATGCTGCTTTCAGACACATGCCAGAGGTAATCATGGCCTTAGGTTAATAACATTTTCTCTCCAGGGTTGGTTTACTAGCAGACTGCAAGGTAGCTCGGAGCACTTGGCATGCTCTGATGCTGTCAGACACAAGGTTTATTGATTAATAATGACTCTGCAGGAGAAATAACAGCTCAATTTAGAAGTGATGTTTCTGTTTATTTTTGTTCTGTTACATAAAGCCCCCCATTAGGTTTTACCGAAAAGGCAACACTTTGCTGCAGCATCTTTGTTTACACATTGGTTTGCCTGAAGAGCAGCAGTTGCAGGTTACTCTTCCCAAGAGACCTGAAGGAAAAACAACCCACTGAAGGACTTTGAAAGTCCATGGCACCTGTAACAGGGCCCCTTAGCACTGACAGCTTGAAAGGGAGTAACACATGGCACAGGCCCCAAAGCTTCACCCTCATCTACCTGCTACCATCTCCAGGCATCACGTTTTTGTCATTATGTAGCACCAGGAACAGACAGAAAATCATCAAGTCAAGACACCTGTATAAGAAAAGCTTACTATTTCTGTAGTTTATGGAGCATTCTGACAAGCTTCAAAATAGCTTAGTAACACAGAAATTGCTTTGCATACAACTGATAACATCTCCCAGGTGAGCATAAAATGATACATTAACACTGTAGGAAAGGAGGAGAGGTAGGCATCAGATGAAATAAAGCATCCTACGCAGGGAAGTGAATCAAAGACAGGAAGTACAAATCCAGCAGAGTTGCTGCCTTGTCTCGATAAGAAATTTAGCATTTACATTTTTTATTGCCATAGGGAGGTGGCACACAATGCTATCTCCAAAACAGCAGGAAGAGATGATATCACTCTATTTTACAGTCTTTTTCTAGACCATTCACAATCAGAAATTAGCCAGTACAGCAGCAACCTAATTAGAAGGCTACAAGCAAGGAATGAGGTCACCTCCCCAAAGCAGGGGAAACCACAGTCTCTCAGGCCTCTCCCAGGAGCAGGGGGTATGCTGCTCCCAGGACAGGATCAGGGGTACACTTCCATCAC